TTCTGGATAGAGGAAGAGGAGAAATGGAGAGTCGGGGTGTGGGAGGGACCCCTCTGATGATGGAATCACCAAACGTCAAGCAAGAGCAGAGCTGGAGGAAGGACCCACGTGAGAATCACTAGGAAATAAGAACAGTGACCCAGTGAGAACAGAAAGGAACGGGAGACAACCACCCCTCAGTGCCCCAGCAACCCTGGACCACTTCTGAGCTGGCAGAGACCACTCCCCCTCCCCAAAGATGTCCCACATAGTCCCTGAAACCTGTGGATTGGCCACCTTCCATATCAAAGGATAGTGTGATTACTGATCACAGGTGAGCTGGGGATGGTATCCAGGCTGCCCAGGTGTGCCCTGTGTGATCATAAGACAACATCAGCAAGGGAAGTTCCCTGAAGACCAGCTAGCAGGGTTCAGCACTGGCTTAGAAGATGGAGTAGGCTGGGATCCTTGCCCTGAGGGCAGCTGTAATATTTCCTAAGAAGCTGGAAAAAGCAGGAGAGAGTCCTCCTTGGAGGCTCCAGGAGGACCCTAACCTGCTGACCATCCCTGTGAACCCCACTTTGGACTTTTGATCTCTGGACCTGCATGACTGTAAATTTTCAATGCTTTAAGTTTCCTACGATTGTCCCTGAGGTCTGTAAGAATGCAGTGGGGATAGGGGTGGGCTTGGCTTGGGAGCTGGTGGGCTTCAGTTACAGAGAGGAGAGTGTGGTCTTGTTTACCATGGGCTGTATGAGGCAGGAGACAAAAGGCAGCATTTTAGGAGAGGAGAGGTGCAGATAGTGGGAACCAGGGGACTCATGGAAGCCAGAAAGGGGACCTTGCTAGCCCACTATGAATAGAATAAAAAGAAAAGAAACGGTGAGGCTGTGAGCCGTGAGGGGTGGGAGGCCAGGACAGCCAGGATCTCACGTTTTGGCTCTTAAAGGACATCCCAACCTAGTCTTGGCGGGTTGAGCCTCAGGAAGGACAGGGGTCATGCAGAAGACCCTATGGAGGCCACGGGCCCATGGGCAGCATGTGGAGGATGAATGGGAGGCTGGGTAGCTGGGAGTCCCCGGAGGTTTTAAGGCCGTTTAAGGTTTTTATGCCTTGTTCTAATGTGGCCTGCAGTGGGCGCTGCGGAGTCCCCACAGCAGCCTCATCTCTCACCTTATCGAGCGAGCGAGCATCCTCCTTGGGGAAAGTTCCAGTCTCACATTTACCTAGTAAACAGCAACTGGCTGCCCGCCCTTCGTTTACCTGTCCCCTAGGAGCCATTGAGCTACAGCGGAGAGAGCTTTACAGGCAGGGGGGCCACAGGTGACTGCAGGCTGCCGGGAGCAGGTGACGGCTTGGCAGCGTGGGGACCCGAGGGAGTCATGTCATTACTGCTTTCTGCAGTGAAGGGAGCTGGCTCTTGCCAGAAAACAACCGCTGTGTAACCAGAAATGAATACACCAAGCCCCATGGGGCTGGGAGAAGGCCTCTCTTGAGTCCACTGTTTGGTTTTGAAAAATGAGTTAAATATTAGGAAGTGATTAATTTTCCTGTGGCTGTCTGCCTCTTGTGCCTGTCAAAGCTGGTTGTGCCTGTTCATTCACACACCCCATTCCCCCAGGTCCTACTACGTGCTGGGCTTGGGGATGTAGCCCTGAGCCAAGGCAAGCATTGTCCTCCTCTCCTGGGACCCACAGGTGAAACAGTTTCCACGCACAGTGGGCTCAGCATGGTGGCCTTCACGTGGTACCTGGGGGTCAGGCAGAAGAACCAGGTCTTCATAAGCGCTTCCGGAATTAGGAGGTGAGGACTTCCGGTACTAAGAAAGCAGAAACTAGGAGATGGTGTGGTCTGAGAGCAAGGGGGAAATGCTGTGTGCCTGGAGATGGGAGACAGGGAAGGTGACCGAGCATGTCGCCTGGAATCCAGGTCTAAATGCTGAGAGCCACTGGGGTGCTGTGCCTAGGAGCAGAATCGGGTATGAGGTAACTTAGCCTGGCTCTGCTGTGTGCAGGGTGGGTGGGAAATGTCAGGGGAACTCAAGGAGCCACCCTGGCATCCCGGCAGACGAGGGAAGGCCAATGGGCGCAAAGGGGGAGGTGACAAACACTTCAGAGACAGATCACAGAACTTGTGTGGGAAATGGGGCTGTGGGGGGACTCAGAGTGACTGCCACATTGTTCCTTAAGTAACTGCTGAGATGGTGTTGCCACAGGCTGGTGGGGAAGGGAGGGGGGAGACTGGGAATCGGGGAACCTCGGGCCTGTTAACTAGAAATGCCTTGCGGTTGGCACAGTGAAGTCACGCAGCTGTACCAGCATCTGGAATCTGTGAAAGGGGTCTGTGCAGCCCTGTCCAAGGTGGTCCTGGGAAGCCTGGCCCTGTGTGGGCCCGCTTCATTAGGAGCAAAGGCTATGAAATAGAATCTTGTGTGCCTCTTCTGCTCCTGGTGAGCCCTTGGGAGAACTTGGCAAATCTGTCATGGAGGCTATGGTTTGCCGTCCCTCCCTGAAACCTGGCTGTGGACCAGAGACTGTGGCCCCAGCAGTACATCTGATGGTCATGAAGCACTGTGCAATTTCACAGTATAAAATTTGCAGGAAGAAGGCATTCTTGGAGAGGCTGGGACAGGGCAGCCTCCTTGGCAGTCTCTCCAGGCAGGGCCATGCACACACACCTCCACTTCTGAGCATTACCAGGAGGTGGGGGCAGGTGGGCCGAGAGAGCGGCCTTCTGGAGGAAAGTTTTGTCTCAACTGATTCATGTGTGTACCACAAAATGTCATGAGGGTTGCAGGTCAGTCCCCTCTGCCTCCCCAGGGCTGTGGCTTTAACTTTCATTTACTAATGATGCTTGTGGTTCTCGAGACTCAAGCCTGGCTCGGGCCTTCCTTCTGGTCTATGACCCCAGAGGATGCACTGGCGTCCGTCCCCGTTTCTTCACTAAGGTTTCTCAAGCCCCCCCTTGTTACCAACCCAGAGTTATGTATTCCCCCCCCCCCCGCTGTAAAACTGCACCTGGCTGCTGCATGCAGCAAGGGACCTTTGCAGACTGCTGTCACCCAGGGTGTCCCAGCGTGTACTTTACATTTGGGGGTTTTTGAAAAGTTGATCGACTCATGTCTGGCTCTTACAGTCTAGTTAAAAAAACAAACCCAAACCTCTATTACGTTTTTCGGGACCTCACGGTAGACGAGGTCGTAGCAGGAGCTCGAGGCTCAGCACTGAAGCCCAAAGTCTGTTCAGTGATGCTACAGGGAACCGATAGCAAACATAAGCCAGGATCTACCAAGTCCCCAGTACCTGGGAAGTGGCCACCATTGTCAGCATTTTGTATCAGGAAAGATGGAGGAATAGGCCAGATTTGTGTTTACCAAGTGAAGCTTTCATGGAGATTGTTAGGTCTCAAACCCAGGACAAATGGCTAGCTGAGGTGCCTATTTAACATATCAGACTGGGAGGACTTGGCCACTGGGTTCTCCCGGCATCCTTACAGGGTGTGACTGGCATACCCCGGCCCTACCCTCAACTGCTCCAGCGCAGGGGCTGGGCTGCTCTTCCCTATCTAGTCCAGCCATTTTGGTGACCTGGCCCTTTTTGGTCTCCCTTTACAATCCTGGCCTCTTGTTCTGGCGCTCCCTTCTCCCCTCTCCTCCATGGCCCAGCTCAAGGTCATGTCCACTCTGGACTCTCCCAGATGCCCCTGCCTCTGGCTATGCTCTCCCTTTTCATTCAGAGACGTGGAGGACAGGTCCCCTTTGAATGGGTGTATTGTCTTGTCCTGTCTTCGGCTGCTGCTGCTGCTGCTGCTGCTGCTGCCGCCGCCGCCGCCGCCGCCGCCGCCGCCCTTCAGGAAAGGCATGGAAGGGCTTCAGAAGTGAGGAAAAGAAAAACAGCTGCTCACAGCTACAGCAAACATCATCAAGAGTGGAGTCAGCCTGGGACGTGTGGTGCTGGGCACATGCGAGCTGTGTGGTGTGGAGGTGGGGGGTTTCCTAACAATTCAAGCCATGTGAGTCATTTCCAAGAGTGCATGTAAGCGGCATTCTGTAGATCCTGCCTCATAGGGTCCCACAAAAGTGGAATCCACACCAGCTACCTGGAGCCATGTGCTCATCAGGAAACTTTTGGCATCTGGACCCTCTAGGTTGTGGGACTCTTCGGGGCTTCTGATCCAAGCCGCCAGAGGGGCCTGAAGCCTTTCAGGGTAGGTGTTTGTAGCCACAAGGACCCATGCAAGTTCCTGTCAGGGCTAGGGACACCTGTCCACATGGACCTGCTGGTTGTAGGAACTGGAAAGAGTAGGGGTGGAGTCTAGACCATCCCAAGGGCAGATCGTGGTTGGGTAGAGCGAATCTCTGAGGCATAGGCCCCAGGACTTCAGAGCAAAGCTCTTAAGGGTAGAAGACGTTCAATATTAAGATTTAAGAAATAGCAATTCCTTCCACCTCCCTTGGGTGCTTTAACTCTGAGGGAGAAAAAGCTGTTCTGAGGAGGAAGGCAGATAGAAAGTCCTAGAATTTTCTGGAATGTGTGTTTTCAGGTTTGATAAAAAGGTCCCTCCTCTCTTCTCTGATAATTTGTTAGATGTTCAAACAGAAAGCCCCCAACCTGCACCCCACTGTTTCCAACCGACTTCAGGCACTCTGGGATTTCCTGGAAGCTAGCCTAAGGCTGACTCATAAGTCTCTCCCTGCCTGTTACCCCAAACAGAGGACCAGGAGGCAGAGGCAGATCTCAGCAGAGTCTCGGGTAGAGAGGATGGGGCAAATCTGATGTGACTCTGTCCCCTTGGGCAAGTGGACAGCAGGTTCCTCCTGAGCTGATATATTTTGTGCACAAACAAAAACCTTCCTTGCTACCTGAACCCCACTTTTAAGGCTGCTCCAACCCCGCCTCCCAGAGAAGCAGACACACCAGGGGAAAAGTTGCTCTCAACTGTTTTATTGCTAAGCTGTCATCATACAAGCCGTATAAAAATACTTTACATATAGCAAAAATAAACTACATGAAACTGAAGATTAAAATCATTTTGCATAGGAATGTGATATATTCCGACTCAAGACAGTCGGGATTTTCCCAAACCCTGGTCTTCAGGCATCACTGGGGCAACCTCTAGGAGCTGGAGGGTTGTGAGACTCCCTGTGAGGGCTGAGAGATGATGGGGAACAAGGGTCCTCTGATGTCTGGGATGCTCCCACAGAATGCTCTGGCCAACCAGAACACCGGGGCTCCTAGTCACACGGCAACAGCACCATCTGCACCCAGCCCATCTAAAGGCTGAAAGGGCAGGGACATTTATTCCCATCTGTCTCAGGGGCTGCATAGAGGCAGCATTAACCCTTTGACTCCTAGGACCCCTCTGTGACCTCAGAGGGGCCTGCTCAGGGAAGCACTGCTCTTGCCCATCATGAGAGTTAGCTGTAAACAAACTGGGTTAAGACAGGGATGGTGGCTGTATGTCAAGGCACGGGTAATTTGGTCATAGGTGAAGGTGACGTTGCCTCATTTTAGCAGCTGCCTGGATTGCAGGAAACTCTTTTGCTCTGCAGCTGGCTGGTTTGGGTCCATGAAGCCTTGATGCCCAAGGTTGGGAGATGCCAGTGGTGGGGATGTGTGGGGTTCCTCAGGGTTGTCCGTCCAGCAGAGTTCAGGAATGCTCATCCCAGCTTGGCCACCCACAGTCTGTCAATGCTGAGCACTGTGGTGCAAAAACAGACCAACCCGGCCTCCCTTTGGTTCTGTGTGACAATCAAAACACACTGCTTCCGACCTCTCTCTGTGTGACAGTGCTGGGGGTGGCTGGTGGCGATGGGTGACAGATGACCAGACTACTGGATGTGAACCAGCTATCCCAGGCCTTGGGAGGAACCAGCTCCCTCTGCCCATGGCTCCAATGTGCTGGACACAAGGTGGCTGTCCTTTGGATGCTGCCCACGGGGCCACCTGTGAGGACTCCATGTGGTTGTTTCTGTCACGATCAAGCTGCAGGATCTTGTCAGTCCATGAAAAGACAGGGTTCTGTGGCTTTAAATCAAAACTACCAACTAAACCCTTTGTGTGCAATTCTCAGGGAAAACCCAGGCTTGAGGCCGGAGGAGTGTGTATCTTTCTCGAGCCAGAAAAGGATGCTCTTTCCTCCCGGTCCCCCTCCCTCCTGTCCTGAGGTCCTGACAGTGACCCAAGGTGCATCTTTGGATTTGTTTTTCTGGAATGAAAAAAAAATTCAAAAACACACCATTTCTCTTACAGAAAAATCAAGATATATGTGTTTAAAAAAAAACCTTAAAAAGACATCTGACCATTTATAAATATGTTCTAACTCCAACAGGAATGAGATATTTTGAGGGCAGATAAAAAGCATCAAAATCCAGGTAAGAAAATAAAATTTAATATCATACTGATCTGGGTGGATATATATATTCCCAGCAGCTGTCTTTGTACAATCAGGAAGATGTGCGGACTTTGAAGAGTTAAGTACCACATTCAGCAAGACGGAACTGTCCGAGTGCCACACCAACATCACCATGGATTTAACAAAGTCACATTTCTGCTCCGATCCTTCTGACCCACATGCAACACCACCACCTTCACTAATCGGGCATCTTTTTCTCATTGACTTAGATCAGACTGCATCTTCCCATTCTAAAAATGGTTTAGAAGCAATTGCTCCCGGCGACGCTTCCTCCTAGCGTCTGTGACTGACCAAACCTCCTTGATAACTGTCTGCTATTCACACGCTTTCTCTGGCCTGTCTGGAAAAAATGCCATTCTCTCTTTGGCCTCCTGGTCTACTTGTTTATGAGACGGTTTCTTAGACTATCCAGATAAGATGGTCTAAAGGGAAGGGCATGTGCACACACACACACACACACACACACACACACACACACACACACGAAGATACAGAAGTCTGAACTATGGGAAACCCTCTTGCACACATGCATACACACACACACACACACACACACACACATGAAGGTACAGAAGTCTGAACTATGGGAAACCCTCTTGCACACATGCATACACACACACACACACACACACACACACACACACACACAC